TCTCTTCATTTATATGTGAGAGGTCTTAAGTTTGATTCTCGCCAAATGTGAATTTGAACAACATTATTACTAGCTCATTGTGAAATTTAGCTTACTTCTCTATCCCCTTGGTGTAGTTAATATTGTTTGTTAAAAATATAAAGCTACTGGACCTTTAAAAATGAGTATTAAAAAAATCAAAAGTTTATTATTTGTTGGTCCAAACAGGTGTCATTTGTACAGGTTTTTTATTTTTTATTTTTATATATATATATATATATATATATTTGGACTGTTTTGTGCAGTTAAGGCAGATAAACACAACCTACAGACAACTAAACGCCTAAAAATTAGTTCATGTCACATCTCCAAGCTCTTCCAATTTAGCAATTAAGTTTTTCAACAAACAAAATAAAATATAGGGACAATATTTGTGCTTAGAACACTTTGGACTTAAAATTAGGTTCGTCCATGCCAATATGAATGTCATCAACACGTCTACATTTAACAAAATAACTTACGCGTTACTTGCTCTCTTATATATACGAAGAAAGATGAAAAATAAAAATAAAAACACGAAACTCGTTACAAGTAAGCTTTTATGCTACTTTTACATGTAACATGATTCGTTGGGTCCCCCTTCTTTCGAGACCAAATCGATCCTCATCAAGTTAATGCAAACTACCCCATTTATAAAAGTTAGTTATAAATGCAAATTTCTACAGGATAATGCAAACTAAGATTAAGTTTAAGATGCTAAATTGTTCTAGTGTGGATGCCTATGAATGATCAATGTTAATGGGGCCCTTTTAACTGCTTTGCATATCATAACATTAGAAATCAAGGGTTGGTTTTTGGTGGTTTACCTCTTGTTTGGAAGTGCTTTTAATATGATTAAATCGTTTTTTTGGTCAAAATGTTTTTGAAACAGATTCATAGTAAAAATATAAGTGAATCCAGAAAAAGCACTTCAAGTGCCTTTGGAACTAAAAACATTTTCTTTAAAAACGTTTTCCGTCATTTTAAAAGTACTTCTAAACAAGCTTTTAATAGAGATTAAACTAAAAAGACAAATAATGAAGAGTAACTCAAGGGAGAGATATATTTGAGTTTGGAGTACTATGACCTTAAAATTAAGTTGGTCCATGCCATCAGCATCAACCGTATGCATTAGATTAACTTATATGTAACGAGGTTTTTTTGTCGCACGTGGCGAACAGTACAAAAAGAATTTAGAAAACATGATATTGATACATTTTTGTCCTATTTTTATATGTAACAAGTTCCCTACCCTCTTTCTTTCTAGGCCAAAATCCTCATGTACCTCACCAAGTAATATATCCCCTTGATAAAGTTTAGCTCTAAATGCAACATTTTAAAATCAGCGGGTTTTTTTCTCTCAGCATGAGAGCTTTTCTATTTGAGTGAGAGGTTTTCTCACTGTGTGAGTGTTTTCATTTTCAGATTTCAGTTCAGCCGCCGACCTTAGCTTCGACCAAGGTCGGTGGCAGTCCCTTTCGTTTTGCTTTTCTTGTTTTTTTTTTCCCTCTGTATCTCAGCCCTTCCGCCCCATTTTAACTATTCCTTGCCCCATTCAGAAAACTTCCTTTTCCGATCTCCATTTTCTTCTCCCCACTATCTTTCCCCTACCATGCATCCACTTCTTCGTCTTCTTTCTCTCCCGCTTGGGATCACTCTCTCTCGATTTCACCTTGAATTTGATATGCTCCCACCTTGTTCCACCATATTCAACAGCTTTATCGAAAAGCGTGTAGAGTTTTAGGTCGGGTGTTCGCACCACCACTTTCCACCTGTGTGTTGGTCTCCGCACTGTTGTCAGTGGTTCCATGGACTTCCTCCCTGGTTTTCTATCGTTGGTGACGGCGGATTGGTTCTCTGTGGAGTTTGATTGAGGACGACAACATATGCTTCTCTTTTTGTTGTTGGGTGGGTTGTTGTTGTGGTGGCCCATCTTTTGCTTGTGTTTGTTGTGTTCTTAGACCTTTGTTTTTGCATGTAAGTTGTTGGTAATAAAAATTTACCTTTTATAAAAAAAAATATAAAAAAAAAGCAAGATTTTAAGAAAAATAATGCAAACGAAGACTGAAGTTTGAGAGGCTAAAATTGTTCTACAGTGGGTGCCCATGCATGATTAATACAAAATGGGACCCTCATATAACAAAAAAGTCATGGGTTTTGTGGGTGGTTTTTTAGTGACTACCACACACTAGGAGTGTAATTGGGGCGAGTTTGACGGATTAGATGGTCAATCCAACTTTAGCTCAACATTCAAAATTTGAATTTGAGTTGGATTTGGGTTTCATACGAGTTTGAGTTTAAATTGGGTTTAGCCTTACTTAGATTGAGTTCGAATTTGCTTTACTTCATCGAGTTCAGTATTTTAAAATCTTCTTTTACAAGATTGTTCAAATTTTGAATCAAACAATGTCAATATATTAGTTAAATTTCAATTTTACATATCATTCTATACAAAAGTTCTAACACGGATCCCCTCCGGATCTATTATGTAAGGATTTTAAGGATCTCCACATCTTAGCCGTATATCATGAATTGTGCAGTTAGATATCATTTTACTTTTATTATTTTAGATTAAATACAAATAGTACATGACGAAAATTGACTATATGATATACGATGAACGACTGAGATGTAGGGATCCTTAAAATCTCCACATAATGGATCCGGAGGGGATTCATGTTCCAAAAGTTCAACCAAATCGTGTAGAGACAACTTCTAATGTTTCAACAATGCAAAGTTATAATATAATCATAATAGAATACAAAGTTTCAACCTAAAGAAACATAAAATCAACATTATTATTAATTGTTCAAATAAAAACCAACAAACTTCAATTTATAGTCACCCTAAACTTATACATAGCTTATATAAAATGAAACAGGATGAACAATATAGGCACGAGAGAATTTGGACTAAAAATTGAATTAGATTTGAGTTGATATGGGCGAACAATGAATCAATACAACGCAAATCAATAAATAATCGAGTTGAGATCAGGTTGGATTTGGCAATATTTTATTTTATTTTAACCCGTTGGATCAGGTTCAATCGAATTAAGCGTGTACAAATTCGCATTGACTCAACAGAAGTACACCCCCTACATGATACATCACACTAGAAACACAGAGACTGCCTGTCATATGGTGAGCCTCTCAGCTTTTAGGGTTGGCTAGATTCCATAGGAGGCATTAACAGTCAAAGATTGATGACGCAGGGTAGCCCACAACTGACATGAGCGAGACATGGAGGAGCTGAGAGTCGCAGCAGCTTTTTGGTCCGTCTCTTTCCCACCTAAAGTGAGAGAGAAAAGTGAGAAAATGACTTGTGCCTTCTCCAACTCCACGAGTTTTCAAATCAAAAACCTACTCTCCCATGGGGGAACAAAAAATCAAATCTGCCATTCAATGAATTATGTTCCTCTTTTTGAATTAAATTCTAGCATGTGCCTTTTTTATGCAAGTAGTAGTAGTAGTCGGAGGACGATTGCTAGAGTAAGTCGTTTATACAGTCGTGGATAATTTTAGAGTTTAAATCTTTAAACAGTTTATGCAAGTGAGTTCTATAATGAATATTACATTTGCAAGCTACCAGACTTCAGCTCAAGTTCGAAAAATATGTGATCGTAAGTGTTTGAATCTTATAGAGAAACTCACGTGCATCAATGACAAAAGTTCAGTCGCTTACTTATACACTAACATGCATAAACAAATCAATTACGCATGCGTAATTTCTGAATGGTAAGTGCATTTGAGTATTATAATGAAACTCATATGCATCAACGGGTTAAAATTCAACCGCCCACTCATACAAGCAAATATTAACGACCAGACTTTAATTACACATGAGTAATTTTTACCATAAGTGCATTTGAGTCTTATGACGAAACTCACATACATCAAATGCCCAAAATTCAGTCAAACGTGTAAGTTTTTATCATAAGTGCGTTTGAGTCTTATAACGAAACTCATATGCATCAAACAGCCAAAATTCAGCCACACCCATACACGACGAACTCCGATCATTTTTCAGGATGCAAACTCACATGCAAGAAGCTTTGGAACGTAGTTTTGCAATTCCATGTGTTAGCTATAGATCAGGATGATACTTTTTCACCAAACACATGGGTTGATAGTCTCCCATCACAAACAAAAAAGTGAGAGAAATTGAAAAAAGAACCATCTGAGTAGGGACATATTCATGTGGGAGCAACAACTACCTTTATATAGACATCCAATCCTTACAATTTTTGTTTTAGATTCCTTGTAAAAAAAGACCAACATTGTCTCCTATTTTTAATATAAGTGAGTAATTCATTATCAATTCTCAATTTCAATCGTATATAAATTAGGACCTTCAAACCTTGTTCAATAAGGTGTTTCTAAACCAATTTGAACTCAAGCATTTGGCCAAAATACACCTATACTTGCGCTCATATTCTTACAACTGGTGTTTTACATTTCCTACATTATGTGCGTAATATTGCATAAAATGGACATTTTAGTCGCATGTGCTATATTATACGATATTCAAATGATTTCACAAAAGTGAGACACCCCGTTTTATGTACAAGAAAAAGAAATAAAGGAGGGTAGCTTTATGTTTACATGCCAACTTGGTAGTGTGGTTTAATTCTTTGCAGAGAAGTTGTCAAATCCTAGTTAGTGAGCTGCCGAAGCTTTATGGAAATGAGAAATTGACAACTACATGTGAAGTTTGTACCACCTTTGTTTGATGCATCACATTGCACAGAGTTTGGTTTTGTAACATTGTGCCTTTAGTGTACAATACTTCAGATAAATGATATACACGTCATTTTTCTCCGTTTATGTATTCATGTTTAATATGTATATTGTGTTCATTTAATTCATACACGCTGATGATCAGAAATAAAAGAGAGTAAAAAGCGAAAACAAACTTTTTAACTTTTCACAGCAGTTGCACTAAAAGTCCAGTACTAAGGTTTTCTAAAATTGAGCAGAAAATGTGCAAACTAATTATTTGTTGATGTGGCAAATAAAAAGCTTTACATTGGACATTTTTGCTTCTAAATTACAAAAATTTATTTTATTAGATCATTCAAAAACCTTAGAAAAATAAAAGGGTCCAACTATTTTTACTGCTCAGCAGATTTACCAATGAAGACTAGGAGCTTGATCGACTGAAAAGAAATTGCAGGAATCATCTGTGGTGAAAAGACTCTGCTCTTCCATCCTCACAAGCTGGCCTTGAAACCCTTTTCCTGCAGCTACTGATCTGGACTCAGATAATTGAAACCAATTCACCATGGAATTTGAAGAAATTGAATTATTATTATTATTATTATTATTATTATATCCAAGAGATGAATTTCCATTGCTCTCTTCCTTCATAAGAACTTCATTTGAATCACTATCTGATGAACCATCTTTGGTCTTCAAGTTCTTGAACAAATCCACCTCAATATTTTCACTGCTTTTGCACGTTGAAATTGGTGATTCTTCTTTCGCGGAGCCGTTGCTCTCTGCACCTTCTGTGCACAGCTTCGCCTTTAACTGACTTAGCTGCAAAAAATACAAACACCCCATTTGAAAAAAGAGTAGTGAACTTTTTTTTCTGCAGACCCTTGTTTATTTTGGACTTTTGGACCGAGTAAATCAAAAGAGAATCATGACACGTAAATAAACAGGGTGAGTAGCATTTTTTTTTTTTGAAAAATATGCAAACAAAATGAGTTTCACTAGAAGTATGAACCTTTTCAGCAAGAGCTTTATTCTGTCTCTCAAGGCTATCATAGTTGTGCTTTAAACCATCATAGTCAGCTTTGAGGGCGCTGTAGTCTCTTTCCAATTGCTTAGTCTTCCACCGTGCGCGACGGTTTTGAAACCAAATCGCCACTTGTCTCGGTTGCAGGCCTAATTCCTCAGCCAGTTTGACCTTCCTCTCTGGCTCTAACTTGTTCTCAACCTCAAAGCTTCTCTCCAAGGCCTTGACCTGCTCCGAGCTCAACCGCCTTTTCTTCCCTGACATTTCTTCCCCAATATCTTCTTGTTCTAAAGAATCTAACATTGCCTGAAACTCCTTGCTGTAACCATATTTGCCCTTTGCAAGCTTTCCCTCCTCTGCGTAAATTATGAGACTTCAAACCCATCAATAGAATAACAAAATTTGGCAGAAAAACAAGCTCGAAATGAATTTTACCTTTTGATGGGAAATTGGAGACCAAAGCACCCAATGACTCTGAGCTGCCGAACCTCTTCATAATTCAAAACAAAAATCCAAGACAAGGTGGTATTTGTTGTTGTTTCAAGTCTTTTTCAGTTTTGTGAGAGCGCTCGAACATGCAACTGGGATGCCAGAGTTGGAAGGAAGCTTTTTGGTTGAATGACCAAAGTTGGGAATTGATGCTTCAAAACTGCTAGAAGGTTCACTTGCCTTTAAATTGTAAGACACTAGGATCTGGAGCAGAAAAAGCAGACTGCTAGGGGTTCCCCCTTTGCCTTGCTTTTCTTGGTTTCCTTCCTCCAAAACAAACCCTTTCAAAGAAGCAAGGAAAAACAAAGCGCACAAGTACACACCTCACAAACCAATAACTCTTTCTCCTACTTAATCATTATATAATCGCCAATATATATATTGGTTTTGAAATTGTGAAAATTTTTATTACTATTTTTGACACTCCTTTATGTCGTATGCTTCATAATGTATTTCAACGATCCAAATCGTTTATCTTTTAGATTTTCTCTCAACTGATAAAAAAAAAATCTTCTCTCAAATATCGTATCTACCAAAAATCACAAAAATCTAAAACTATATGACTGTTAGATTAAGAGTTTAGGGTTTCTTTAGAGCACTTCCACCTTGGGCTATTGTCCGGTGGACTAGCTTTGGAACAAGGCGAGATAGCCCGAGGGAGATGGTTCAACGTGTGCTGGCGAGGGAGCCCGAGCAGGCCCGAGGGATAGGCCCCCGCATGAGTTGCCAGCCCGAGAGCCCGAAGGTGACCTGACGCAAGGTTGACGTCACATGAAGTCTCTGAAAATGCTCCTTCTTTTTTCCCTACTTTCTGTCGGGTTTTCTCATGAGACCTTCAACTCCCACCTCCTGTCGCGGCTGTTGATCCTCGAATACGCAGAAAACACCGATACCCACTTCAAGGAATTGGAGGATGAGATAGGTTTTGGGGATTCAGGTTTTAGGGTTTGCAGATTCGCGTACGTGAACACTTTTTTTTTTTTGGGTTGTTAAAGTCGCTGAGGGAGGCGATTGCGAGCTAGCAGCAGGTGCAGCAAACGAAGAAGCACAAGGCGGCATTTGCGCCTCACATTGGGGGGGTTGGAGACTGAGAGGGGAAGTCGGCGAGGGTGGAGGGCGTCGGAGAAGACGATGGATTTGTGATTTGAAGGGGGCGGGGCCCACTCTTTTTTTATTTTGTATTATTTAAAAAAAATACTAATATTTTATTGCCTATTGCAAGAGCTATTCCATTGTAGGGATAAAGATGCAAAATGCAGTTACTGTTCATTGGGTGGATTAAATAGTGAATAGCCTGGGGGCCCTTTCCCAGAGTGGAACTGCTCTTAGGGTGCGTTTGGTACGCAGACGGAACGGAACGGAACGGGACGGGACGGAATGAAGGTGTAATTTTTGAAAAAGACATGGGGTATATTTGTCTTAAAATGGTAAAACATTGCGTTCCACAAACGTGGAACAAACCCGTTCCAGGGGGGAGAGGTGGAACGCAAAAACACTCAAAATCTGTCCCGTGGAACAGCCCGTTCCACCCATTTTTGGCGCACCAAACGCGGGACGGAACGCCTCGTCCCGTTCCGTCCCGTCCCGTCCCATGTACCAAACGCACCCTTATAGAACTATATTTGTCTATTTTATATCTTAATGGTTTTGCATCTTCACTGCAATTTTCTATAGTAATGATCTATGAATTATATTCTAAAAGATAATGATTCAAATCGTTAAAAAGCATTACAGAATGAGCTCCACAAAAACGTGTGTTTAAAATTATGTAAAAAATGATGCCATGAATTCACTCACATATAATGTGTGTGTGTGTGTGTGTGTGTGTATATATTTGATAAAAATATATAGGGCAAAAGACTGTTTACTACCCTCATGTTTTGTGGTTTTCAACATTTAGTACATCAAGTTTTTTTCGTCCCAGAGTCATACCTAAAGTGTAAATTTTGGGACAGTCTCATACATCCATTAGTCAAACTGTTAAGTCTCCCGTTAACTATGATGTGGCGCCCATGTGGACAATGACTGGGTGTCACGTGTTATCCACGTGAAAATTAAAAATATTTATTTATTTATAAATAAATAAAACAAACAAAACCTTCATCTTCAATCCCACCCGTGCCCACCCTCCCATCACCATCTTCGACTCCACGCTCAGGAAGAAGAAGAAGGAAAAACAAAAAAAAACCCAAAAGAAGAAGAAGAAAAAAAAAACGAATCTGCCAAGAAGAAGAAGAAGAAGAAGAAGAAGAAAAAAAAAAAAAAAGAAGAAGAAGAAGAAGGAAGAGAAGAAAGAGAAGAAGAAGAAGAAGAAGAAGAAGAAGAAGAAGAAGAAGAAGAAAAAAAAATCTGCCCAGAAGAAGAAGGAAGAAGAAGAAGGAGGAGGAGGAAGAAGAAGAAAAAAAAACACGAATTTGCCCAGAAGAAGAAGAAAAAAGAAGAAAAAAAAAATTTCAAAATTTTTGGTTTTTTGAACCCCTAAAAAAAAGTGAAAACCCCTTCTTAAAAAAAAAAAAAAAAAATTCCACGTGGCGCCCAGTCATTGTCCACATGGGCGCCACGTCACAGTTAACGGAATACTTAACAGTTTGACTAACGGATGTATAAGACTGTCCCAAAATTTACACTTTAGGTATGACTCTGGGACGAAAAAAAATTGATGTACTAAATGTTGAAAACCACGAAACATGAAGGTAGTAAACAGTCTTTTTCCCAAATATATAATATATATCAATACACACACACATATAGAGCTTGGAGTTATTGCAACTGGATGCAACAATTACACACAGGGGCAAAGTTAGAAATAACATTCATGGTGCACAACTAAATAATGACGGATGTAAGTCCTCGTAGAATTTCAAAAAGCACACCTAATACCAATTTTTTTTTCAATTTTAAGTGAGGCATTTTATCATACTTGGCCAATCCATACTCTTTATGTTATTTGAGCATTTCCACCCATTTTGATGGATTTAGATCTATGGCTAGACTTATGACAATTACTGTTCACTAAAATAGTACACTGCTATGGCTGTTACTATTCACAAAAATTTATTTTTTAATAATGTATAATTCAATGTTTTAGTAATTATTGAACGAATGAGATTGATTTAGAATATGTGATTGTGACTTTACAACGTGTCCATGTTTTACAAAAATCTTGTTTAGAATTTTTATAAATGAATTGTGGTTCATCTTAAAAAACATAATAATCACATGTAACCATTGTAATTTTTTTAAAAAATTTAATTTAATTTTTTCTGATTTTTCTAATTTTTTTTTTGCAATTTTTATGAATTCTAGATTTAAAAAAATTATTACTACGAAAAATAATAAGAATCATGAATTCAAGTGAGAATTTGAAATGGACGTCTTTGATTTGGCGAAGTGTTGAGCACATTGGAAGTAGTCGTTGTGGTGGGCCCCAGGCGACAAAATCTGTCGCCCCACTCTCCCAATTGGATGCATGTAGTGCACGTGCCTGGTGCAATAAAGATTAAACGGCATCACTGACGTTAGGCTATTGTTGACACCCTGGATTTAGATCTAACATTAGGATCACATGGATGGTAAGCCTTGGCGACCCACAAATAGGTGAATGGGTGTTTTAGGTTGATTTGGGATTTAGCAATGTCAATTTAACATGGGCGAAAATGCTAAACAAATAGAGAAATCATATATGTATAAGGTTTGGAGATTAAATTTGTTATACGTATGTATGGAAAGAGGGAATTCTTCTTCGTGAACTGTTAGAATCAACTTTGCAACTAAATATTTTGGTATTATATCCATCTCTTAGTGGTTGTGGATGAGGACTGAGCAATAAAATTAATGGTGGTGACAGGTTGATTATTATTCGCCATAATCTGATTCAATGTTACGAGAGACACGATTAAGATTTAAGTGGGTGCCTGGTTCCACCAATTTTTTTCCAGGAAAATGATTCGCTCCAGATCCTTTTCTTCTAATCCATCAAATCAGAGAATTTGTGTTGTTGAAATTTGATCAAACGGTTGAAATTATTATAACTTTTAAAGTGAATCTTTGTTTATAGCCATTAAATCAAATTTCAACGCTACAAATCTTCTAATTTGATGAATTAGAAGAAGGAGATCCGGACAAAATCCTTTTCCTGTTTTTCCAAAACTTGAGGGGGGGGCCGGGTGCCCCCTCGGGGCCTTAATGAGATTCGAGCTGCACAGCTAGATTGCATTGTTTTTGCTTTATTGCTGTCAGTCGCAGTGATGCTAATGGTTTGATTGGGACCCCCATTGCACTTTTTATTTTTTTCTTTTTTTGAAGGAAAGATGGTAAGTGAGGGTAAGTGAAATTAAAAAGCTGGATTCAACCATATTTTTACTCCATGCATAAAGATTGCTTTTTCACTTAGATTTTTTGTCCTAGGCATCTTATTTTTTTGGAATATTTATTTAATTGGGGACACATTTCTCATTTGTTATTTTAATTCTATTTTTTAATAAGGAAAGTTGTACTTTCACAACATTAAATTGTTTCTTTTCAAAGTGACTCATATAGCTTTCTGTAAAAAAAAAAAAAAAAAAAAAAATTTAAACATAACATATCACTTCTTGATTTTAAACAGTTGTCACTAAAAATCAGTGGCAGAAACTGTAGGATCATTGGTTGTCGATGATATTAATAATTTAAAAATTTTCATGTGTATTTGTATGTATATTGTATTTGACCTTTTAAATAGTTAGGACAAATTAATTTACAACTTTCGCCTTCTACTTTTTTTTTCTTTTCTCTTCTTGTGTGTGTCTGTATTGTACGCACCAGATGCTAGATAAAATTCCTCAGTTGGCAAAGCCTTGACAATCTTGAACGTTACTTTATAGCAAATATGATTATGATTAAGGCTCCCCCCCCCAATCTCCCCCTCCTTCTTTTCTCTCATATTTAAACGACTACGATTATTTCACGTTAACATCTTGTTTTGAATTTTTTATATAGAGAAATAAACAAAAAGTAAAGTGTGAGAGGAGGAGAAGGAAGATGATGGTAATTGGAGGAGAAAGGAACGTAACTTGGAAATTCATTATGAATTTTTTAATGCTCTCAAAACCTTTTTGTATATACAATTTATTGTTATTTCTTATTATTTGGTATATGCTTATGTATAAATTCATTTAATTTTGAATATTCTTAAACTTTTTGGAACGTACAAGGATAACAATCCCTATAATTTTGGCTCAATCAGGCGCTATGATCTCCAGTGTGGTTAAGAGCCTTCCCCACTCGAGAATCTTAACGACGTCAACTTACCACATTTTTCCTAGTCAAACGAATAATGACGATGTGAGGGATAACGAGTCTCGAACCCTCCAGTTATAGTACGCCACACGTACCTTTAATGAATGATCTTCAAGCTCAAAACTACTAGTGCATAAGGACACAACCTTCAACCATGAAAGGTAACAATTTCTCTAACCTCGAGCTCTTAAATTTTCATCATCCATTAGTGTGACAAGGTCTAATATGTTTATTCTTTTCTTGGTTGCAGGAACGCTCCAGTAATTCTAAAAGTGTTTAGGCGAAACAGAAATATAGAGACGAACAACAATATAGACAGCAAGGTTTGAATCTCAACTCTATCAATTAGAACTGGAATTGGATTGAGGCTTAAGCATGTAGGGGTCGCATTGATTTGGTGCGTCGAATCTCAGAAGCAGTGATGAATTCCAAAAACGTATTTCAGAACCATAAACGAGGAAGGCACATACATTATCTCAGTTTCAACAGATTTAGGTAGAGAATAGATAGGTTTCCTTTTAAGGAGTCTGATCTGGTTGCCGTGCAAGCTTGGAATTTTGCCATAACATGCCAACAAGAAACAGGTTCCTTGTGGGACACTCCATTTGTGCCACTGAGATTAAGGGCACTTGGTCCCAAAGCCTCACTTCAACATATCTAAGTTGCGTGAGTTTTCATACCCCTTTGATGAATACATTAGTTTCGTTCTCAAGGGAGGGGCCTTTATGAAAAGGAAAAAAAAAGGTAACAAAGAAAGGGAGAGGAATATGAACCCTAGGTTCCGATATTGGGGAAATGGGGAATCAAATTCGAGACCAGAACCTTGGGTGCAAGGGTGAACGATCTTAACCAACTGAGCTACGGGTCCTCAAAATAAAATGAATAGTGAGAAAGGAACATGAGCCCACTTTCATTATTATGCTCTCTTATGTTTGTTTCAGCAAAGGGTAGCCGAATTTGTTGAAATGAACAGAGAACAATATAAACTTTGGTGTAAATTGTGAAAAGATGGTTTGGATAAAGACTACAAGTAATACGATTGAAGAGAGTGCTTACATTATTGTGGAATTCGCAATGCCATACCACAATTTGTACGTCTGTCGGATTTTTCTTTCCCCTGTTGACTCAAACTATCAACACTCAATCTAGAAGTGATATGAATTTCCAACCTTACGATACAACAAGAATGCATCTATGACGGTATTTGAAGTCAATCATGCACTGTCATGTTTGGATACGTCACAATAGCATCCCCACATGACAGTACACGATTGACTCGAGATACCACAATGGAATCTCCTTTATATGTAAGTTCTCTCCACTATATATGTTCGACAAGATAGTTACATAACATGTGAAATGAAACTCTTAACGAAAGAGAGAAACCTAACCACGTGTGTCGGTATGTAATTGGGTCACGCAAGGACCAGTGAACAAAAAAATTTAAACTTCACAATACAAGCTATAGTAATTTGTTAACTGCATTTGATTTCATAATATTTTAAATTACACGCAGTTAAGACGGAACAAAAATGGAAAGAAAATCTTTGTCAGATCCTATTCCGAAACAAATTTCCCACACTCTAAATCTTGCAGTTTTTAGCTGCTCCGTGTAATTTCTAGTGAAACAAATTAAGGGCAAACAATTTTACGCTGCCCTTACCTAGTTTACCTTTCTTCAATGTCAACCTCAAAATTGTGTCAAAATTTGTGCCTAACCTGCGATCGGTGTACATTCCTACTTCTAATCTTGGGATGATGAAAACGGAGTGCAGCAGGAAGAAATGTCGATTCCAGCAACCTCCATGGCATCACAGACCCACTCGGGGATATCACCTTTCGGAAACTACAAGACAATAAGACGTGAAACATTTCAAGAGATGAACTTTGGACACACAGATAAAAAAAGATGAAAGCGTCTAAAAGAAATACCATTTGTTGCAGAAATTCACGTACAAACCTGCAAAAAAATGTTTTAAGGAAATGGGTTACACTAGTAACAACCAGAGGTCCAGAACAAGTTAGAAATTCAATTGAAAATCATAGTCAAAATGATAGTTGTGCATATTAACATTTTTGCCGGGGAAATAACTTGAAAAACAATAAAATTATTGATGGTAAGTATATCACACAACAAATAAAAGACTACGGTTGAGAAGGGTAAAGCAGAGGCAAACATACTCTGGAAACCTTCCCTTGATTATTGAAGAGTGCAGATTTCTACTTAGCTGCATTTAGAAGGGAGAGAGAGAGAGAGAGGGGGGAAGGGTTTTAGTTATATAATGTATACAACAACAACAAAGCCTTATCCCACTAAGTGGGGTCGGGTATATGAATCCTAGAACGCCATGTAAAAAAAATTATATGGCAAATATAATATAATGGCTTTTGTGTTCTAACCTTCATCATGTAATATAAATTGTGATATGACAGAAGCTGAGATCCCATAGCATCTTTTGTAACAAGGCAATGAATGTACGCTCTAGTATAATTTTTGCAGACCTACATTTGTAGAAATAGAATGAAGCAGTTAACATCATTGATCAACTTCTGCTGTGATATGTCACGCAAAAGATGCTACACATGCGTACCATACAATCACATGTAGGATCAACGGGGCGGGTATCTTCAGCCATCGCTTTCTGTTTGAGTTTCAGCACTCCCTGAAATAGTAACATCACATAAAAAATGAGAGGAAATCTTCTTTCCTACAGTTGAACTATGCATCCACTTATCAACAGAATTAGACCCCCTTGTATAAAATACTGTATAGTGACGCCCAATGAACGTGCACTGTCTCGCAATATCCACATGAATGTTGTACGACACAGTTCTAAGTGCATTAGCAAACATAAAAACATTAGCTGGAAAGCTTTGATGAAACACCAACTCATTTCAAGCATGAACGCTATAAAGTACAAAGGTCGTTGAGAAGTTTTGAAATAAGAAAGTGTTATTTGTCACATTCATATAACGACAAACTTAAAGAGGACAATTAAAGCTTAGCTAGTAGAACAAGATGCAAGCATCTAAATTCGTATCTGAGAAGAATGACTCCCCCATCTAATTACGAAAGAAACGGCAATGACTCTGAAGTTCGAAATTAAAGTTCAAACGAATAATCCTGACCAAATAACCACACTTAATTACAAGCTGTGACGGAACTTAACAGTGGAACCAACCTACTTGAATATCAAACTGAATACTCCTTCAAGTGATTACAAGTAACACCATTTTAAAATGGGCTTAACCAGAACTTCGTGGCAGTGCCAAAAAATTTAGCTGCTAGTGTTTCTAATGCATATATTTTACAAGTCGTTCATATAAAAATCTTTAGTAAACATACATACACGGATACAGGAGCTCTTGTAAGCACCTAACATTAATAACTAATCATTCAAGTGTATTGATTCACTCTAGTAAGCAACTAAAATAAATACTAATTATCCAGATCAAAGGAGTATATGAATCATAGATGTAATGGTTCAAATTAGCTGCTTATGATGTTAATCAATTACGACAGTTGGAGGGCATACATAAATATATTCAATAAAAATGTAAAATTGTAGATCACAATGTTCAAGTAATCACCTCGGGTACAAGAGCTGTACCAAAGCGAGCCGTACGTGTGGGATAAACACAGTCATACATGTCAGCACCTAGAGCACTGCAAACTACAATATCCAGAGGATAACCAACACCCTGAAAGATGCACAAGAAAATATCACGACTTGGGATACTTAAAAGGAAGTTCAAATGGAAATTAGTTAAAACGGAAGTCTCCAGCACCATAACATATCGCGGTTTCTCCTCAGGCAATGCAGCAGTGCACTGTGCAACAACACGCCAAAATGAATCCTTACTTTCACCACCAGAAAGACCGCCAATAGCATACCTGTCACAGTAAACTTGGTCAACTCAGCTGCTTAATAGAAGTTACCAACACCACCAACGTGAAACAGAAGTGCATGTGTAGTATTGCAAGATTTTTCAATTCCCATTAAATATTAGAACAAATGTAAACAAGTTACTAATTCTGCAGGGAGTTCGAACCAATAAAGTTGAAATTAAGGAACAATACAGAAAAAATTGTGTTAGCCCATCAGAAAGAGAAGGAGAATTTTAAATTCCTTCTTCCACACTTTAGAACATTATTAACCATAAATAAGCCATTGACAGTATTGCCACTCTGCTTTTAAAGGAAAAATATAATCAATACACCTTAGCCTTCAAAGAGACTAACATAAATGATCAGAGATTTTAAATGTGTTACGGTGTTTTTGTACCATAAGGCTGCACTTATTATCTTCTTTTTTCTTGCTTGATAAAAGTGGTATTGGGGAAGAGGGGAATTGAACTTGTGACCTTGGGTGCAAGATGCATGGTCTAAGTGATGCATCATAGTTCATTTTTACATACCAGCATTGTTACTATTTTATTATGAAATATTACAAATTCAACAACTATCGTAACTGGCTAACTTCAAAAACTAGAACGGATTACCAATGTGCTGGATAAAGTGACCTTCAACGAATCAGCCACTAAAGAGAACATACCCGGGTAAGTTTCGATTCACCAAGCCCTTTACACATATATCTCTGCTCACAAGTTATGGCATGAAACAATTTGTTAGTTGTTTACAAACATATTATTAGAAGGAACAGAATAATAATAAAAAAATGCACTAAAAGATCAACATACGGCATGAAGATTACAGATTCAGTTGAAGTTCACCTTAATACAGGATCTAAGCCACCTTGTACAATACCAAATAAGTTCTGCTCCGTTGGTCTCTTGTGAGCTGTTTATAAAAGCAATGCAGATAAATACAAAAGCTGACCACCCGAGTCCAGCATAAAAATTGAGAACATAAAGCATTACAACTTATAATAAATAGGACGGAAGGTTAACAAAACTAAAAAGTTACGCACAATCTAAGAATTGTATATGGCTATTATGGATGACTTGGGGAACTAAGGAAAGAAGGAACTGCTGAATAGATAACTATTGAAATAGTTGGATTGTAAGCATAAACAGTCGTATACATATACTACGAGAATCACCTAGTCATGATGTTGTAAATCTAAGAAACTTGCTATTAACCATGAAATTGGACCTAAAGAACAGACTTTCACCTAATTCAATAAACTTGGCATGGCACAGTAGCTCTAAAACCTAATAAAGATCTTCTAGGTAATCTATCAAACTTGAGATGATTATATATGATTATACATGTTGCACACATATACATATATCTATGTTACCTTTCCTGTAAAGTGTAAACTATTTAAAAGTATAAAAGAAACACCAGTGACAATCAAATATAATTCACCTTCAATGCATCTGTCTATCCATCGTATAGTGCGATACATGGCCTCCTCAACTCTTGGACCAGTGGTGGTGGTTTTGACTACATCATCCAGGGCCATAATAATATCTGCTCCAATTCTGTTCTGCACAGATCATTGAAGGTACAGAAAGGAGGGTAGAGGGAAACACTTGGTGAGAAAATAAATGTTTTAATTAGACATGATATCTTGAAAGCTTTACTCTATGTTACAATTGCACTACTTTAGAACTCATCGAGCTTCTCCCGCTGCTAAAGAACGCAGAAATTCAAAGTTAATATCTCATGCTCTAATACCCAATGAATTATTTTGGTTTACCACTATTCAAAACCTTAACCATCGGAGGCAACAATTTTATTACAAATTCTATGAATTTAAGTATTAACTATCAGAAGTTTAACTATTATTGTATTTTTTGTCTACTTTTAAAAATTCAATTATTTTTTGAGCTGCCTATGTGATGGGCATTGTTTTAAGAGTTTGGATTTCGATACTCTATTCTTATTTCCTTTCTCTTCCCTTTCTTCTATAATTCCATATCTCTCAGTGCTACATCGATATCATTACGACATCTGGATTCTTGATGCAGGACACTCAATGGCATAGCGTGGTTCAAACACATTGGTGGAAAGACCTTGGTAATTAACCCAGTAATTATCCACAGATACCCAAAAATGAAATGAAATAGAAGTACGTACTTGGATTTGAATTGACTCCTCAGGTGTCAAAAGCATTGGCTTTCCATCAACTGGTGACTGAAGTAGGAGAATAATCAGTTATCGTCCTTATGGACGTATGACAAACCCAAAATAACAATATTCTTGATACAACCAATAATCAGCATGAAACATTCAAGTACAAAATGAAAAAGTAAAATAGCATTAACAATAAACAAGGTTTAGACTTTTATATAAAATAAATGACAACACCCATCTATGCTTACCAAAATGAGATGAGATATAGGAAAAATATTTTCTAAGGTTAGTTTTCCAAATTATGAAACAATTATTGTACATTACGAAAGATGAAGATATAGTGTGTTCACAGGCAAAACAAATGGATATTAAAACTAAATCTTATCCATTGATTACCCTCTCCATCAACCCCAACCCTGTATTTCCCATAAAGGTCAAAGGTCGTACCCAGTGCACAAGGCTCCCGCTTTAAGTAGGGTCTGGGAGAGGTGAATGTCGGCTAGCCTTACCCCCATTTATGGAGAGGCTGCTCCCAAGTCTCGAACCCGAGACCTACCGCTCATGGGCGAAGGCACTAGCCTTACCCCCATTTATGGAGAGGTGTATTTCCCATAAAATAAAAAAAATAAAAAAACATTATGGACAAAAAAAATATTTAGATCACTCACTCTTTTCCTAACAATTGAAAATAATTAGCAGATGCAATTGTTTAGAAAGTTTTTTATGACATATCGGCCCCTAAGAATGGGGCAGTTGGATTAAACGATAATCAAATTATTAATAATTATGAGCATAATAGGTGCATAAAGGTATCTTCATGCCTCAGCTGCTCTGTTCAGTTCTCCCCAAGTACACCAAAAGAAAAGAGGAATCAGCATCACCCTTCTTTCTCCATGTCCACCATTGCATCCGCCAGTATGACTCACATACAGTGCTTGATATTAGCAATGCAATCAAAAGAAGAAATAATTGGAGACAATAACTCTTTCACTGCACAAAAATGGCTTTCTTCATCCCAACAAACTCCTAAAGTTAATTAAATTTGGTGCTTTAATCCTTCTCCTGTCATTTATAGAAGATATTGGAGACAACTTGTTGGCGATTGTAGAACTTCGCCAGGGCTTGATCCAGTGACAATAGCCCAACATGAGCGAACAACTCAATCATTATTCATCAGCACCTAAACTACAATAAGCATTGCCAAAATAAGAGATTACCTGAAATGTTACACCTTCTTCGGTGATGTCAGCTAAATGCAATAATGATACCTGAAAACAGTAACAAAATAAATTGTATGATTTCACTGCATAAGTTATTTTCTGATGCAAAAAAAAAAAAAAAAAAAAAAAAAAGTCCACAAAAACAGCATTAATAAACTAGCCAACAAAACAACCACATCGTCATTAGCATGAGTTCATCAATCCAAGCTTAAAAGAATTATCAAAAACTGGGCTACACATTATGAAAGAATGCCCATTCTACTTCTACAGTAGCATACATTAGAAAGTAAGTTGGCTAGTAACTACATCACTATTTAAAAACACCGTCTTTGATATGTCATTTAGTTATTTATAACAAAGTACAGTAAGCAAACAAGTCATTGGAACAGTAGATACTGACTTGTTCCCATGCCTCCTGGACAAATGCAACATACATAAATAAGGGAAAGCTTAACATAGTAACATAAAGTTCAATGTAGCCAGTAAGAATCACAAAGTAGCGGCAAACCTGGAGAATGAGAATGGAAAAAAATGGAGGGGGAAGAGGCAAAGGGATTTATTTAGGACAATAAATTCATCACAATGCACAAGCATCCATAAAACGTGTTGCATAAATAGTTTCAGATGGATTGTATTTCAATAAGTACATCAACAAAACTCTAGACATGGAAACAATTTAAAATGAAAAAACAATTAAATCAAAATCAATATGTAACATATAGTGAAATACTGAGGGAAACTAACCATCTGAAAGCCACCGGAATCAGTAAGCAATGCTCTTGGCCAGTTCATAAATTTGTGGAGACCTCCCAACTCATCAAGAAGCTCGGAAGTCGGACGAAGTGCCAAATGATAAGTATTGCCAAGTATTATTTGAGCACCAATATCTTCAAGCTGTTCAGTTGTCAACCCTTTAATAGTTCCTGAAACCAAGAAAACCTTATCCATATCATTGATTACTCAATACAACAAAGCCAAGGGCATCCATGAATGCTGTTTATATATGCACATCAACATCTAAGGTGCAACAACAACAACAACAAAGCCTTTTCCCACTAAGTGGGGTAGGCTATATGAATCTTAGAACGCCATTGCGCTCGGTTTTGTGTCATGTCCTCCGTTAGATCCAAGTACTCTAAGTCTTTTCTTAGGTCTCTTCCAAAGTTTTCCTAGGTCTTCCTCTACCCCTTCGGCCCCGAACCTCTGTTCCGTAGTCACATCTTCGAACCGGAACGTCAGTAGGCCTTCTTTGCACATGTCCAAACCACCGTAACCGATTTTCTCTCATCTTTCCTTCAACTTCGGCTACTCCTACTTTACCTCGGATATCCTCATTCACAATCTTCTCCTTTCTCGTGTGCCCACACATCCCATGAAACATCCCACGAAGCATCCTTATCTTCGCTACACCCATTTTGTGTACGTGTTGATGCTTCACCGCCCAACATTCTGTGCCATACAACATCGCTGACCTTATTGCCGTCCTATAAAATTTTCCCTTAAGCTTCAGTGACCTACGAAGATCACACAACACGCCGGATGCACTCTTACACTTCATCCATCCAGCTTGTATTCTATGGTTGAGATCTCCATCTAATTCTCCGTTCTCTTGCAAGATAGATCCTAGGTAGCGAAAACGGTCGCTTTTTGTGATCGTCGCTAGATTGCTCCGGTCATTAGTGTGGATAAGTATAAATGGATAGATATAGGAAAGCAAACACCAGATGTACGTGGTTCACCCATATTGGCTACGTCCATGAAATAGAGGAGTTCTCATTAATTGTGAAGGGTTTACACAAGTACATAGGTTCAAGCTCTCTTTTAGTGAGTACAAGTGAATGATTTAGTACAAATGACATTAGGAAATATTGTGGGAGAATGATCTCGTAATCACGAAACTTCTAAGTTCCGGAGTGTGGTATCGTCTTGACTTGCCTTATCTGTCTCGTAGGTAGATGTGGCATCTTCTCTGGAAGTACTCTTCCTCCATCCAGGGGTGGTATCTTTAACTGGTGGAGATGCACAAGGTAATGTATCAATTTCACTTGAAGCTTACTTGTAGTTTCAGGCTTGGTCAAGCGCGATACAAACCATGTAGTAGGAGTCCTCCAAGTCGCCGAGCTAGGGGATCTGCTGAAAGAGGTGACAGACAAGGTAAGCAATCAAAGCTCCAAGCAATCAGTCCCAGATCAGAACTTTGATTTCGAGTTCCGGCTGATTGTTCACATTCTCCCTATCTTGCAGGCAGCATGAAGGATAAAGAGAAGAAAAAATGAGAAGAGATGATATGGGATACTTTTGCTTTTGAAGAAGTAACTTTCCACAGGCTTATTCTTGAACTGGGCTGGAGGGTTTTTCTGGTTTCCTCCAGAGTATAAGGCCGACTGAAGAATTTGAGGGTTTAAAACAAGTCCATCAAATCTATAGTACGTTCGACCCTGCTGATATGGGATACTTTTGCTTTTGACAGAGTAGTGGATGTATCGGCACGTGTGCTGTTACGCTTGTCTCCACATGCTTCCTTGTATCCTTCTCACTTGCCCTATATGTTCCTCAGGCAGATGCGGTATCTTCCCTGGAAGCATAAGATGTTGAAGATGAGTACTCGAGAGCAATGCCAGGTAAGTAATCAAGTAAGGGGTTCCAGGCAGTCAGTTCCTGACTGGAAGCTTGATTCCAAGTGCTGACTGATTGCTCTCTTTCTCCTTGTCTTGTAGGTAAGAACAAGGCCAAAGGAAAAGATAGGGAAAAAACATGATATGGGATACTCTTGCTTTTAACCCTGATGATATGAGATATTCTTGCTCTAGTATAGCTTGTTTGCAGAGGTATTATCGGGGGGAAAGAAAGCTGAATATTTCGAAAGGCTTCTTTGGGAGTGCCCTCTCAGATATGAGGAAGGGTTGAGCATTTTTGCAGGTCTGCCTGTCTGTTGGGGATGGAGGTCAACATATATAGGAGTCTCCCTAACAAGTAGTAATGCTATTCCCTTACCCTGCTTGGTCATAACACGGTAGTGGGAGCTGCCAGCTTCATGTTTTAACTTTGTCAGAGCACTTTGAAAAAGTGGTCTGTGGTATCTGGAAAGCTGATGTTGCGTGTAAAGATTAGAGACAAGCTTTATCCAAGGAGGTCCGGCTCTTGAAGTTGGGAAAGTGGTGCCTCTTCGGTTTTCGAACAAGCAATCCTGTCGGAGATCTGGCTCTCGAGATTCGGAGAACGATGCCTTTTCGATTTTTGAGAAAGCCATCCTGCTAGGGGTCTGGCTCTCGAGATTCGGAGAGCGGTGTCTCTTCGATTTTTGAGAAAGTAATCATGTTGGGAGTCTGGCTCTCGAGATTCGAAAGGCGGTGCCTCTTCGATTTTGGAGCAAGCAGTCTTGTTGGGAGTGTTTTCTCGAATGTGAGAAAAGGTTGGGCATGTTTGCTAGTCTATCTTGCCACGAAGCACAGAGGTTGACACACAGGGATTTTCCAGTTATCCAGCAGTGATACTGTTCCTTTACCCTTGTGGGTAATAATATGGTAGCTAGACCTTCAAAATTTATGTGTCTAAACTTTGTTAGTGCTGTTTCTTTGCTATTCTTTTACCCTTCTTGGTCAGAGCGGTGTAGTGGGAGCTGCAAGCTTCACGTGTCTCAACTTTGTCAGAGAACTTTGGCAAAGTTATCTGTGGTACCCATGAGCTAATGTTGCGTGTGGGAAGTGGGTGATTGAACAGTAAGATTCATGTGCTTTCTACTTCACCAGAAATCTTCGACATAATGCCCATAATTTCCGCAAAGCTGACAGGTGCTGACAAGGCTGGAAAAGTAGGTGCCTCTTCGATTTCTGAGATCGGCTCTCGTGGTCTCTGAGCAGCCCAGCTTTTGTGAAAGCAAGCGCCTCTTCGATTTCTGAGATCGGCCTTCGTGGTCTTTGAGCAGCCAAACTTTTGAGAAAGCAAACGTCTCGTGGTCTCTGAGCAGCCCAGCTTTTGAGAAAGCAAACGCCTCTTCGATTTCTGAAGCTCCGTCGAGTGCAGATTTTTATAGAGGCTGGCATTAAGTTCCAAAGCACACTTGAATCTCCACCAGTAGAAGCTCCATTCTTGCACTTCTAAGATCTTGATTTGTCCGACCTCTTCTCTCTTCAACACCTTTGAAAATGTCTGGCCCCTCCGACCGTCGTTTTGACTTGAACCTTGTTGAAGAGGCAGCCACGCCTTCTCCAGACAACATATGGCGCCCATCCTTCGTCTCCCCTACTGGTCCTCTTACTGTTGGGGATTCCGTGATGAAGAATGATATGACCGCTGCGGTAGTGGCCAAGAACCTTCTCACTCCCAAAGATAACAGACTACTTTCCAAACGGTCTGATGAGTTGGCTGTTAAGGATTCTCTGGCTCTCAGTGTTCAGTGTGCAGGTTCTGTGTCTAACATGGCCCAACGCCTATTTGCTCGAACCCGCCAAGTTGAATCATTGGCGGTTGAAGTGATGAGTCTCAAACAGGAGATTAGAGGGCTCAAGCATGAGAATAAACAGTTGCACCGGCTCGCACATGACTATGCTACAAACATGAAGAGGAAGCTTGACCAGATGAAGGAATCTGATGGTCAGGTTTTACTTGATCATCAGAGATTTGTGGGTTTGTTCCAAAGGCATTTATTGCCTTCGTCTTCTGGGGCTGTACCGCGTAATGAAGCTCCAAATGATCAACCTCTGCTGCCTCCTCCTTCTAGGGTTCTGTCCAGTACTGAGGCTCCAAATGATCCCCCTCCAGTGCCTGCTCTTTCTGGGGCTCTACCGACTACTAAGACTTCTCCTAAGCAACCTTTGTGAAGGCTCCCTCTTGTTTGTTTATTTTGACTCATGTATATGTACATATTTGTGACTTATCAGGGATATCAATAAATAGCTTTCCTTCATTTCAACGTATTGTGTTGAATACACCAAAGCCTTCTTCGCTAAGTTCTCTGAATTTTTCTTTTGTTGAAGCTTGTATGTTGAAGCTTTGTGAGTGGAGCATGTAGGTTGAGGTAGTATTCCCTTAATTTCCCGAGTGAGGAAAACTTCTCGGTTGGAGACTTGGAAAATCCAAGTCACTGAGTGGGATCGGCTATATGAATCTTTGAACGCCATTGTGCTCGGTCCTGTGTCATGTCCTCCGTTAGATCCAAGTACTCTAAGTCTTTTCTTAGAGTCTCTTCCAAAGTTTTCCTAGGTCTTCCTCTACCCCTTCGGCCCTGAACCTCTGTCCCATAGTCGCATCTTCTAATCGGAGCGTCAGTAGGCCTTCTTTGCACATGTCCAAACCACCGTAACCGATTTTCTCTCATCTTTCCTTCAATTTCGGCTACTCCTACTTTACCCCGGATATCCTCATTCCTAATCTTATCCTTTCTTGTGTGCCCACACATCCAACGAAGCATCCTCATCTCCGCTACACCCATTTTGTGTACGTGTTGATGCTTCACCGCCCAACATTCTGTGCCATACAGCATCGCCGGCCTTATTGCCGTCCTATAAAATTTTCCCTTGAGCTTCAGTGGCATACGGCGGTCACACAATACGCCGGATGCACTCTTCCACTTCATCCATCCAGCTTGTATTCTATGGTTGAGATCTCCATCTAATTCTCCGTTCTTTTGCAAGATAGATCCTAGGTAACGAAAACGATCGCTCTTTGATATTTCTTGATCTTCGATCCTCACCCCTAACTCGTTTTGGCCTCCATTTGCACTGAACTTGCACTCCATATATTCTGTCTTTGATCGACTTAGGCGAAGACCTTTAGATTCCAACACTTCTCTCCAAAGGTTAAGCTTTGCATTTACCCCTTCCTGAGTTTCATCTATCAACACTATATCGTCTGCGAAAAGCATACACCAAGGAATATCATCTTGAATATGTCCTGTTAACTCATCCATTACCAACGCAAAAAGGTAAGGAATTAAGGATGAGCCTTGATGTAATCCTACAGTTATGGGAAAACTTTCGGTTTGTCCTTCATGAGTTCTTACGGCAGTCTTTGCTCCTTCATACATATCCTTTATAGCTTGGATATATGCTACTCGTACTCCTTTCTTCTCTAAAATCCTCCAAAGAATGTCTCTTGGGACCCTATCATACGCTTTTTTCCAAATCTATAAAGACCATGTGTAAATCCTTTTTCCCATCTCTATATCTTTCCATCAATCTTCGTAAGAGATAGATTGCCTCCATGGTTGAGCGCCCTGGCATGAACCCGAATTGGTTGTCTGAAACCCGTGTCTCTTGCCTCAATCTACTCAATGACTCTCTCCCAGAGCTTCATTGTATGACTCATTAGCTTAATACCCCTATAGTTCATGCAATTTTGTACGTCGCCCTTATTCTTGTAGATAGGCACCAAAGTGCTCGTTCGCCACTCATTTGGCATCTTCTTCGTTTTCAAAATCCTATTGAAAAGGTCAGTGAGTCATGTTATACCTGTCTCTCCCAAAACTTTCCACACTTCGATTGGTATATCGTCTGGGCCTACTGCTTTTCTATGCTTCATCTTCTTCAAAGCTACAACCACTTCTTCCTTCCGGATTCGACGATAAAAAGAGTAGTTTCTACACTCTTCTGAGTTACTCAACTCCCCTAAAGAAGCACTCCTTTCATGTCCTTCATTGAAAAGATTATGAAAATAACCTCTCCATCTATCTTTAACCGCGTTCTCTGTAGCAAGAACCTTTCCATCCTCATCCTTGATGCACCTCACTTGGTTTAGGTCCCTTGTCTTCTTTTCCCTTGCTCTAGCTAGTTTATAGATATCCAACTCTCTTTCTTTGGTATCTAGTCGCTTATACATATCGTCATAAGCCGCTAACTTAGCTTCTCTCACAGCTTTCTTCGCCTCTTGCTTCGCTTTTCTATACCTTTCACCATTTTCATCGGTCCTATCCTTGTATAAGGCTTTACAACATTCCTTCTTAGCCTTCACCTTTGTTTGTACCTCCTCATTCCACCACCAAGATTCTTTTTGGTGTGGGGCAAAGCCCTTGGACTCTCCTAACACATCTTTTGCTACTTTTCGGATACAACTAGCCATGGAATCCCACATTTGGTTAGCTTCCCCCTCTCTATCCCACACACACTGGGTGATTACTTTCTCTTTGAAAATGACTTGTTTTTCTTCTTTTAGATTCCACCATCTAGTCCTTGGGCACTTCCAAGTCTTGTTCTTTTTTCTCACTCTTTTGATATGTACATCCATCACCAACAAGCGATGTTGATTAGCCACGCTCTCTCCTGGTATAACTTTGCAATCCTTACAAGTTATACGATCCCCTTTCCTCATTAGAAGAAAATCTATTTGTGTTTTTGACGACCCACTCTTGTAGGTGATCACATGGTCTTCTCTCTTCTTAAAGAAGGTGTTGGCTAAGAAGAGATCATATGCCATTGCAAAATCCAAGATAGCTTCCCCATCCTCGTTTCTCTCCCCAAAACCATGGCCACCATGAAAACCTCCATAGTTGCCTGTCTCCCTGCCCATGTGTCCATTTAAATCTCCTCCTATAAATAACTTCTCCGTCTGAGCAATTCCTTGCACCAAGTCTCCAAGGTCTTCCCAAAATTTCTCCTTCGAACTCATATCCAACCCTACTTGAGGTGCGTACGCACTAATCACATTGATAAGTTCTTGTCCTATTACAATCTTGATTGCCATGATTCTATCTCCTACCCTCTTGACATCTACAACATCTTGTGTCAAGGTCTTGTCCACAATGATGCCAACACCGTTTCTCGTTCTATTTGTGCCCGAGTACCAAAGTTTAAACCCTGAGTTTTCTAGATCCTTTGCCTTAAGACCAACCCACTTAGTTTCTTGTAGGCACATAATATTTATCCTTCTCCTCACCATAACTTCCACTACTTCCATAGATTTTCCCGTTAAGGTTCCTATATTCCACGTTCCTAAACGCATTCTACTCTCCTGAACTGTACCATTCTGTCCTAACTTCTTCACCCTCCCCCGTCCAATGGAATCAAAGTACTTCTTTTGTGTGTCCCGTGTAAAGTTGATAGGTGCATATGCTCCCAAACATTTAAGGTGAACGAAGAAAAATTATCAAGGCATTGAATATTGGACAATAGGAGCGAAATGAGTGTGCGCGTCAGTGTGTGCATGCACGCGTGAAGATTTTACACACAATGCACATACTGATAATGTTTTATTAACGTCAGCACCTAAAGCTAGCCTACAAAAATATGTTCTTGAGACAACGAATCCTCAATACCTAAGTCGTTAACATATCAAATACCAATTGAATTGAAAGCTAATTAGCTCAGATAAAAGATTAATATACTCATGAGGAATAGCTTCTATTCAGTACCAAAATGTATGAAATTTAAAGCAATACCTTGCGTTCCAACGGGCATGAAAAGTGGTGTCTGGCACACAAAGTGAGGCAGGGTCAATCTAGCTGCACGAGCACGGTTAAACCTCCCCAAAACCTGAATCACAAAACAGATAAAACCCAACAAATTTCCCACATCAGTAAACAGAAACAACCCAACAAACCAACAAACATTGTATTGATTTCGAATGAATGGAGACAGTGAGCTTATCAATCTCTCATTCATTCATTCCTATGCAAATATAAAATACAAAATAAAAGTGCCTATTGGGATGAGAAAGTTCAAAATTTTAAATATAAAACCATTAAAAATCACATAGTAAAAGAAACCATGGCTCTAGAATTCGAAACCTACCTCGAAACGAAGCGCCATTGGGGAAGGATTTATCAATGAAGGAAGCAGCTCTGTAGCTGTATTGTAAACCCAAAACCTTAACTTGCAATGTAATGGCTGTAGAGAGAGCCCCAGAGAAAGCGAATAATAACGAGAAGAAGAAGAAGAAAAAGAAGAAGAGAGTTGGAATAGGAAGCGGAGAAGAAGGGCCGCGAGAGGCGGAGTTTTGAGTCTGCCGCAGCCGGCGGTGGTTGTGTTGTTCTGTTATCCGTTTGGTTTTCAGTTTTGGAAAGCCCGGGCGGCGGGGATTCTGAGTTTATGTTGGGTTGAAGGCCGGGGCTTGCGCTCAAGTTTGACCGTTGTCACGCGTATTCTACTTGTACTTTTTCGTGTTTTCGGTGTTTTGTTTTCCTCTTCTATTTCTTCTCTCGGGTATTTGAATTTTGGATTTTCTTTTGGGTTGTCAAATGTTGGGATCAAGAGCCACCTTCAATGAAGAGAGCTAAAGGTTCAAAAGCTAAAAAATAGTCTGATTTATCTAAAAATTTATCTCTAACTGAAGGCTATGCTATAATTCTACGAAGTTCATTAGGCCATTATTTGGCCTTTTGTTTAGGACCGATCTCCTCAGTTGCTATAATTGATTTAAATTCAACGGTTATGAATGTGGAAGGAAGGGCAATTCTTGGCAACAACTGCATTTAAGTTCGATGGCATTGTTGGAAATTTAAGTAGTTTAAGTAGAAATTTATTTGTCCCACATTGGTCATTCCCAAAAGATTTCATCACTTTATAAAGCTTTGTCCTTTATAGAAAGCGATTGGAGTAATAGGCCTTGGAGAATAAAATTGGGTTAGGCTTTGGGGTTAGGCTTTGGGATGCACTAATTAATTGGTAATTAACTCCATTTGAAGAGATGTCTCCCAACAGTCACATCCCATTCTTATACCTGTTGCGAACATGTATAATCTCGCTATATATACATCCGTTTGCATGACATTTAGAACACAAAAAACATAAATCTCCTTCTATAATCCATAGCATTCTTACTGAGAGTACCACAAAGAAATTGACCAGAAGTTAAGTTTTCCGTTGCTGGAATTCTAACTTGATCGTTGAATCCTGATGAAACAGACGTCCGAAGAACTACAAGCACTAAATTGGCCATAAGTTAAGTTTTCCGTTGCTGAAATTCTAACTTGATCGTTGAATCCTGGTGAAACAAACGTCCGGAGAACTACAAGCACTGAGTAGGGGTGAAATTTCTGTTTTAAGGACATTGCGGTACGCAACCCTCGATCTTCAATATTTCTGTTTAATATTAGTTCATTGTTCATACACTGTTTATTTATTAGCATATAAATTTATCACAGATTGTTGACATTTATCCAATAATCTTGAAACAGAAATTCATGGATTAACAATCTGTGAATGTGATGCCAAAATACTCTGAAAAGCTTGAGAAGTTCAAAGGACTAGACTTCAAGATATGGCAACAGAAGATGTTGTTCTTCTTGACAACAATGAATCTCACTCATGTTGTCAAGGAAGAAGCTCCGAAGTCTAATGAGAATCCAATGACGAAAGAGACTGTCATGGTAATTGAAGCTTGGAATCATTCTGAGTTTTGTTGCAGGAATTATATTCTGAATAGTTTGGATGACAATCTTTACGACATTTATTCTCTGTGCAAGCTAGCAAATGAGTTATGGGAATCCCTGGAGAAAAAGTATAAGATTGATGATGCCGGTTTAAATAAATTTGTTATCGGTAAGTTTCTCAAATATACAATGGTGGATTCAAAATCTGTTGTCTCTCAGGTCGAAAAAATCCAGAAATTGATCTATGAACTACACTCTGAGGGATGCGAGATCAATGAACATTTCCAAGTTGGGGCAATAATCGAAAAGTTGCAAACTTCCTGGAATGACTTCAAAATTTATCTCAATCACAAGATCGTGAGATGAATATGGAGGATTTGATTATGAGGCTACGAGTGGAAGAAGACCACAGAAAGGCAGACCGTTATGGAGGGTTTGCTGCCATTGAAGCCAATGCAAATTATGTTGAGGGAGGAAACTTCAAGGCCAAGTCGAAGAAGAATAAGGCTCCGAAAACCAAGCAGTTTGTACAATTTGCCCTTGCTCCCAAAGGCAAGAATATGAAGAAGATTAAGGGTGCATGCTATGTGTGTGGTAAATCTGGTCACAATGCATAAGATTGTTGTCATCGTAAGGATGGAAATCATGCCAACGGAAACAACAACAACCATGCTAACATGACAACCACCAATGAAGAATTGGCTGTTGTTGTGTCCGAGGTCAACATGGTCTCAAATGTGAGTGAATGACTGTTGGATACTGGTGCTACTAAACACATCTGCACTGACATAAATCTATTCACTAAATACCATCCTGCTGCCCATACAGAAAAGCTGTATATGGGCAATTCTGCCTCATCTGCGATGGAAGGCAAAGGCAAAGTGGTACTCAAATTCACATCTGGAAAGAGTCTCAACTTGCTGCATGTTCCTGAAATAAGGAGGAACTTGGTTTCTAGACCTACTCTGATTGTTAAGGGCTTTAAACTTGTAATGGAATCCAACAAATTTATACTTACCAAGGGTGGGATGTTTGTTGGAAAAGGTTATGTGGCTGATGGCCTCGTGAAACTCGATGTAATTGTCATTGATGATGCTAATAAAATAAATGTTTCTACTTATATTGTTGAATCTTCTAATATTTGGCATACTAGATTAGGACATGTTAATTTTCGTTTCATGCAAAGAATGGTTAAATTAGAATTATTACCTAAATTTGAAATTGATTTTAATCAAACATGTACTGAATCGAAATTTGCTAGGCAAACGAGAAAGTCAATTCTGGAAAGATCAAATGAATTACTTGGATTAATTCATCATGATTTTGTGACTTTAAATCCACACCAACTCGTGGAGGAAAGAATTATTATGTCACTGTTATTGATGATTGCAGTAAGTATTGCTATATTTATTTGATTCATAGCAAGGACGAAGCTTTGAAAATGTTTAAGACATATAAAGCCAAAGTTGAAAATCAACTTGAGAGAAAAATCAAAGCACTTAGATCCGATAGAGGAGGAGAGTATGAGTCTACTGCCTTCTCAAATTTTTGTGCACAACATGGAATTATACATTAAACAACAGCTCCATACACACCACAACAAAATGGTGTTGATGAAAGAAAAAATAGAACATTCAAAGATATGATTAATTCCATGTTACATAGTTCAGGGGTTCCATATAGTTTGTGAGGTGAAACTTTACTTACTGCAAATACCATATTGAATAAGGTTCCTCTAAAGAAGATTGACGAGTCACCTTATGAACTATGGAAAAGACATAAATCCACTTATAAAATCCTCAAAGTGTGGGGTTGCTTAACAAAGGTACAAGTTCTGTTACAAAAAAGAATGAAACTAGGACCTAAAACTATTGATTACGTATTCATTGGATATGCAAATAATAGTGCTACTTATAGGTTCCTTGTTGTAAAATTTTCGATTTCTGACATACATGTCAACACTATATTAGAATTAGTGGATGCATAATTCTTTGAGGATATTTTTCCTTACAAAGAAAATGAATCTGGTTCTAATACAAAGAGGGTTCATGATCATAGTCATGATAAAGCCTCTTCTTCTGGTGTCCAAGGAAATGATGTGGAACCGAGAAGAGGAAAAAGAATCAAAGTTTCTAAAAACTTTGGACCAAATTTCATTGCTTTCTTGTCCGAGAATGAACCTAGAACTTTTAAAGAAGCAATGTCTTCTTTTGAGGCTCCTTTATGGAAGGAAGCAATTAAAAGTGAAATAGAATCCATTATGGAAAATAACACATGGGAATTGGTTGATTTACCTCCCGGTAGTAAACCAATTGGTCATAAATGGATTTTCAAGAAGAAACTAAAGGCGGATGGAACCATTGATAAGTTAAAGGCACGTTTAGTAGCCAAAGGTTATCGCAAAAAAGAAGGGTTGGATTATTTCGACACATATTCTCCAGTTTCTTGTATAACGTCAATTAGGACGTTAATATCGATTGCGGCTGTATACAACTTTGATATACATCAAATGGATGTAAAAACAACATTTTTAAATAAAGAACTAGATGAAGAAATATACATGAAACAACCTGAAGGGTTCATGCTTAAGGGACAAGAAAGCAAAGTGTGCAAATTAGTTAAGTCATTATATGGACTTAAACAAGCACCAAAACAATGGCACAAGAAATTTGATCATTCTTTGTTGACACATGGGTTCAAAATAAATGAATCTGATAAATGTGTCTACATTAAGAGTTATAATAAAACTTGCGTCATTGTCTGCTTATATGTGGATGATATGCTCATAATGGGAAGCAATAAAGATGTAATAAACAAAACAAAGAAAATGTTGACTTCAAGTTTTGACATGAAAGACTTAGGTCAAGCCGATGTCATTTTAGGAATTCAAATTAAGAGAAATAGTGAAGGGTATGTTCTTACACAATCCCATTATGCAGAAAAAATATTACGACGGTTTGGTTAATTTAACTGCAAACCTGCGGCAACTCCTTTTGATGCTGGATGCAAGTTGGAGAAAAATAAAAGCGATGTCATAACTCAACTTGAATATTCTCAAGTAATTGGAAGTCTAATGTACTTGATGAATTCAACTAGGCCCGACTTAGCTTATGTAGTAAGTAGGCTTAGTAGATATACAAGTAATCTGGCACAAGAGCATTGGGATGCTTTAGTAAGAGTGTTAAGGTATTTGAAAAATACACTTGACTATGGATTACACTACACAAAGTATCCACTTGTTGTAGAAGGCTTCAGTGATGTCAATTGGATTTCTGACACTACAGAATCCAAGTCGACAAGTGGATATGTTTTTACCTTAGGAGGTGCAGCAATATCTTGGAAATCCTTTAAACAGAAATGTATAGCATGGAGTCCGAGTTTATAGCTTTAGACTTGGCTGGCGAAGAAGCCGTCAAAATTTTTTTGAAGGATATTCCAATGTGGCCAAAGCCGGTAACTGCTATATGTATACATTGTGACAGTATGGCCACGCAATCAAGGGCCAAAAGTCATGTATACAATGGAAAGTCACGACACATCAGGTGTCGACATAATACTCTTAAGAAGTTGCTCTCCAATGGAATAATATCCATTGGTTATGTGAAGTCAAAGGAAAATATAGCTGATCATTTGACAAAAGGCTTACCAAGAGAGCAAATATTATTTACATCGAGGGGAATGGGTCTCAAGCCAATTCAATGAATCGAACTAGGCGGAAACCTAACCTAGCTGATTGGAGATCCCATGGTTTAGGTTGAATAGGCAAACTGGTTGAGTTTGATTCAAAAGTTGAACACAC